CAGCTTTTGCAAAATCATTCAAACATGCTTTGTATATATTTGGAGACGCCAATGCCAGCGAGGGCTGTATCCACGGTGCTAGCAATGAATCACGTCCAGTATGAACTTAAAATACTGTTGATTAGATAAGGGACTGGTGTGCCACAGCAGCACAAAATTCCCAAGCGGGCACCTTGCCCCGATTGATTCCAGCTGGTGGACAGTTTCCTGGCTCACGTTTGAAAGCTGTAGCGGCAGATGCGACAGACTGGCAACTGACAGACAGACTCATTTGGTTTGAGCCTAAATCGAGCTTAGCATTCTTTGATACAGACAGGACTTCTAATAGATTTGACTCTAATACGGGACTCATTCGAGAGAGTGGATGCCGGCCCCTCGTTTTTTTTGTGTTGTTTTTTGCTAGTTTTTGGGTGGGTAAACAGTCTTAACCATCCTTGATATTTTTGACAAATGCATGTCATCGACATTTTTATATTTTCAGTGAATATCCCTGCAACGCATTGCATTTCAATTTGGGGTGCATGGCACCCCCGGAACAGTTCTAAGGGCCCTTATGGAAAAGATGCTCTGGTGAAATTTGGCGATCATGCCAAGATAGTGATCTCCGGCATATTGCGAACTGCCTTACATTTCAAGGAAAACTTGACGCGCCCAGTGGGAAAGACATCTGCAACATGGGGTGTGGTTATTGAAATGTAAAAAACGGGGACGATAGAGGACGGTTCCAGGGCTCGGAAACTGGAAAGTAGTTCTGCTAAACCAGTGCAAAGGAAGAGAGAATCAAACGCATGTCATCACTGCGGCGCTACGAATTGACAAGTAGGAAGTTATTCGTATTTGGAGGGAGAGGAAACTTGCCATGACCGTGCTGCCAAATCCGCAGCCGGGCACCACACCTGCCAGAGGCCACGAACAACGGTGACCTAAGTATGGGGCAAGCGCCAACTGGAGTCGCTGCCCGTATACCTACATGTTGCAGACTCGTGTATTACCCTCCGGACGGGACGAGGAAAAGCTGGGCTGCGGGGGTGCGTCAAAATAGTCGACGTGGCGGTTATACAGTTCACAGAACACGAGTGAAAATAACTGGCGCTTGAAAATCGGCGGTGTTCTGCTCAGTGTCATGGCACACGATGCTCGCAATGTGAATCGACTAAATCAGCATAAGTGAAGTTTTTTTACGGTGTCCCTATTATTGTTCACGGCAGACCGAAGTTGCGAGGTGTTCTACGGGCAATTGCCATTGTGGGTCCTGGAATGACCTCAGGGCACTTCGTCCCACCTCGCCAATGGTGTCATTCTTAGACTTAGCCAGCTATATGGGTATATTAATAGCTTCGCAAAGATGAAAAGCTTGATGTTCGTGTCAAATACGGATGACCCTATTGACACTAACTCGCAGATTGGCAATAGGGGACAGTCGACAGCATTACACAAAGCTGCAGGCAGCGAAGAGGACTAGGTTGCCATTTCTCTTTTCATCTATTCAAAGCGGGTTCGGAGAAGCGAACACTTTGGTCATGTATGCAAATTAGCAACTGGCAAAAAATTATCCAAACTCCTCATTTACCCTCACATTTAACCGCCTGACCTATTTGTAAGCAAATCGCTGTCCTCAGAGTTGATCCCGAATCTAACAGCACAGTCCCGTGAAGGGTTTGAAACTCCCAATACCGAAGCCTAAACGGAGCTGTTTCTGAGAGGCGCCCCCTTACCGGTCCAGCCAGTAGCGCTACCGGCCTTGTGCATACTGAACACGTTGATCACTGCAAGGAAGGCGAGCACCGGAAATCTGGCAGGCCCCTCAGCCAATAAACCGCCCCCATCAAGAATATGAGTCTGACAAGCGGACGACCCGCTCGGGCCCCAAGTTCCCTGCATTCATCGCAGCCGTGACCTTTCATTCCGTCCTGCTAGTGAAGCTCCAACTTGGCCTCTCACTCGGAGCGGCCGCTGTGGGTGCCGCAGGGCTCGGCTCCGGCGGCGGCCCCGTCCGTCACACCGACACGCAGCACCAGAGCAGCGTGGCCCGGCGCCTGACTCGGAGCGGCCGCTGTGGGTGCCGCAGGACTCGGCTCCGGCGGCGGCCCGTCCGCCACCACCGACACGCAGCACCAGAGCAGTGTGGCCCGGCGCCTGATTCGGAGCGGCCGCTGTGGGTGCCGCAGGGCTCGGCTCCGGCGGCGGCCCTGTCCGTCCACCACCGACACGCGGCACCAGAGCGTCCTGGCCCGGGGCCGCGCTCGTCAACGGGCACATTCGGACTGCATTCCTGGGCGTCTGGACTTATGTGCGTCCATGCAGAAGGGCAGTCAAGCTTGGCGACTTTCCCACGAGCTGGCCGTCTAAATGGTTACGGCGGCGATTGTGGTGTGCTGGGCACCACGGTAGGTCTCCTAGCGCCACCACACAGGGGCTAGACGTCACAGCTGATTGACATACCGGTCGTGGATGGTTTTCTTGCAACCGTGGGTAGGTGCGATGTCAGGCCTGTTGACACTAGCAGCCTCAAAGAAAACGCCGTGAGGACGTCTGTTTTACAGCGTGCGGAATGTGCCATGATAAAAAACACCAAATCGTGAATGACGTTTAGGGGGGTCCTACTCCATGGGGTCACGAATGGGGTCATACTCAATGCCGGTAATGCAACGTTGAATGAACTGGCATATCAGCAAAATTCAAATAGCCAAAAACTGAGCTGTAACTCACTGGGAATACAGACGGGGCCGGACGGACGATCCTCGCAGCGCTCGTCAGCCGTGCAAGGCACCTTCTTGTTGTAGCACTTCTCAACTGGAAACACGCGAATAATATAAATCCTGTGTTTTGAATGCAGGCGTGTATCCACATGGTCAAAAGCTGGAATACGTTCATACCGAAGATGTAGCGTTGACTTGATTGGCATATCACAATATTTCAGTCAGCCAGAAACTAAGCCGTTACTCACTGGGAATACAGACGGGACCGGACGGACGATCCTCGCAGCGCTCGTCAGCCTTGCAGGGCACCTTCTTGTTGTAGCACTTCTCAACTGGAAGCACCCGAATAATGTAACACGTGCGTTTTGTATGCAGACGTGGATCAACGTTGTACACAGCTATAACGTGCCATTCTGATAATGCAGCGTTAAGTGGTTGGTAAATTGACGAGCTTCTGAACAGGAAACATTTGTATAACACAAGTGATGCGTTTTGCGTGCATGGCTGCACACTTATTGTACATAGCTAGAACGCAGCATGTCAATCATGTGATAAAGTAGTTGGCATATCACAACATTTCAATCAGCCAAGAACTAAGCAGTGACTCACCGGGAATGCAGATGGGGCCGAAAGGACCATTCTCGCAGCGCTCGTCAGCCGTGCAGGGCACCTTCTTGTTGTAGCACTTCTCATCTGGAAGTACCCAAATAATATAACTCGTGTGTGTTGTATATAGAAGTGCATCAGCGTCATGCACCGCTTTTATACGGCCGTGCAGAGAATGGGATATTTCAACAGTCATCACTGGAGTGTCCTTGAAATAAGGAAAACTTAGAGATGAGTAGAAGAGACACCAATGCATAAAACTCTCATCTTCAGGCTTCAGGCCATTACGATCAATGCATCATTGGATACGGTCCGAGTTCTGACGCCATGACAACACAGGTTCGTAAAAAGGCGGGAAGCCGTACAAATGACCCGCATCCTATCTTGTTAATTATGAGCACTTGATTGTGCGAGCATCGTATTGTTAGTTTAGAGCTGTCAGTGCTAGAACCGGGTTTCAGCTCCTGCAGTTTCTAGCAGCTGATCATATATCGTGTGTCAGGAACAGTATATCCGCGATGCGGCGAGAACAGTCCTGGTCTGCCCAACGACCTCAGCCGGCCAGCAGGTTTCTTACGTCTCGAGGCGAAGGATTTTATGACAACCGCCGAACATATGAGCTGGATGGTGGATAAGGGGGGTATATGATTGCGGTTCGGTGCGGAATGCGTGTGGAATGTGCCATAACATAAAACGCCACATCGTGGCTGACGTATAGTCCCGAAGGACTCGTAACGCATTGTTGCTGACACATCTGTGCGTTTCACACTTCTATCGTGTATCCGACATGCAGCCAGAGAGAACAGTAAGGAGAGCTCTGTCGAGCCATGAAATGCTGCGGCGCCATTACTTATCACCGAGAGAGCGTATTTAGGGCGGCTCAGGACCCAACAGCCTACATTCCGGTCCATGAGACGACTATCCGGCGCTGGACCGAAATCTGACGCCCTAGCGCAATGGAGCCTGGCGCGGAGCGCAAGCCTGCTCCGGCGGCCTGCTCGCCTCGTATCCCATGGTAGGCCTCAGGCGTGCCAAACACCAGCTTATCCTTGACATTGGCGTGACACATCGCAGACAGGATTATAACATGCCGCTGCTAAATCCGAGTTTCCCTGAAATAGCTGTGCGCAGTGGGCTACCATTTTTAGCTGCCAACTAATCTCGTCTTGCCTCAGCTTGGCACTGCGTCCGACATCTCCGCACGCCGCTTAAGCGGCGTTGAAACCACATCACTCACGTCTTTAATAAGACATACGCAGTCGTAAACCGGACCTCCATTCATCTGCACTGCGAGAGCCACGCCACCAACCAAGGTCCTGACCGGATGCACGCCACAGAGGCTGTGAGGAGCTCAAGAAAACCGCCTGAGACTCGGCCGGGCGCATAGTTCACGGCGCGTTTCATGTGACGGTGGGGGCAGGCCAGGGGACGGCAGCCAAATGCTGTTGGCTAAGCCCGTACTCCGAATCTTGGACCCAACAGCAGTTGCATCATCGAGATGAACGACCACGGCTGTGATGCAAAGCTCAGTCGGTAGCTCGGTCGGCGAGCGGCTGGCTTTCTCGGCGACGAGGAAGGCTATCTGCATCGGACGGAGGAGAAATAAGCTCTTCGGTGGAATACAGACTAACTTGTCAAAACAGACGAGACAATCAAGATCGATCCAGACAGCCGCTGTCTTCACGCAGCCTGGCCATATGGCATTTAAACGGGCGTTGAAGGGCATGAACAATGAGAGGCGGGATTTAGACCACGTTACCGTGAAACGTTAGTGGATAACGCAGCGGTGGATTGCGAATGATGGCAGCAAGATACCATACATTACAGCGGTGAAGAAATATGACAAAACCGTGCACGATCATCCCGTCACATTTTCTGCGATAAGTCAGGGAGAGCCCACGGCCATGTCGGCGGACTACAAAGTCCACTGCAATGTCGAAACAAAGCACGCCGGCTAGTGGCGCATGTTTGCCATGCTGCATCTCAAATACGTCGCTTTTTCCTCTGATACAGCTCTTGCCGCACTGTCACCCTCCAACCTCAGAAGTCTGAAGAAAGACGGACTTCAATAACTTCTTGGACCACGCGCTAAAGTGTAGAACGAGCGTACTCTTCATGCGTATTCCACGTGCATTCTTGACGTAATTGCGGCCCATGTCGGTCTGTCGGTGGACCATGGCCTTCAAAACGCGTGGCTAAGAAGGGTCTCTTGCATGTAGAGTTCAGAGTTCAGTCGCCTCCTACCTCCCCTGGGGAGGCAAAGGTCAGTAATGGGTGATTTAAAAAAAATTGCCCCGCTTATGGTGTCCAATGGCACGGACAGGTACAGCGTCCCTCAAAAGCTGAAAAGCGATCCGCATAACGGTCCAACTTTTTCAGGCCAATATCCAGCAATTAATGGTTTCAGGGATGCGAGATATTTTAGTGAGTGCATTTGGTTCTTTCTTTTGGAAAACACGCACTCAAAGCACACATAAGAACCACTTTTAAGATTATCAATAGCTTAAGGAGAATTAAAGTTTCTTTTCAACCTTTGAGTCGTTTAACTTTGCACTTTTCGGACTATCAGGTTTGGTTTGTACGGTGGAGTTCACGGTAATTTCAGCTTTGCGGTAGACAATTGCGAGCTGCAGGAGGTCCCTGTGAGGACTCACTCCCGGCAGAGGACCCCAGCTACCTGTAGTTTTGCCTCACCATTATCCACTTCTCTTCAATCCGAACTGGTCGCTATCGGTTGAAAGGACTCTAATGCAGACCAAACGAAAAGACAGGCACAGCTGGATCGGACCGTCGAATCAAGCGTTGGCTTCCTAACGTGCTCATGACTGTTTTGCCAGCTGCTCCGCAACATAGAGGTTGGTTGTGTAACCGGTGCACCCTATTTTTGATGCTATTTTTTCCTGTTTTTCATTTTTTCATGTTATTTTAGCCGTACATCCCACTTTTCCCAGCCCAGTAGAAGAAAACAAGTCTCATCTGTATTTGTATGGAAAGATATGAGACTATGGGACTGAAGCTTGGCAAATGTGTGTCAGTTTGGTTCTTTGGTGAGAGATACCATTTATCAGTCAGGCGAAATCACTTAAAAAATGTGGTGATGGAACAGCATGGAACCTGAGCTGATACCTGAAAAGATAACGTGGGTTGAATTTGGACAGGGCTCCCCGATTGGCTTGTCAAGCATGACGAAAGCCAATCCTGATAGATGTCTTTTGCAGCACGAGATCCACCCCAAATGTCTGGTCCGTCATTGGGCGACGGTTCCGTCATGCGCTCGTTGATCGGCACCAGAATTACAGATGGCCGGGTGGTCATCGGACGACACTGTGGCCAGCCAGCGTGTGCTGGGTCACACCTGATCGGTCAGAGGCTCGTTACCTGCTACCGCAGCCAGGACACGCTGGCTACCGCAGCCGCGCCACACAGCACCAGAATTACAGATGGCCGGGTGGTAATCGGACGACGCTTTGGCCAGCCAGCGTGTCCTGAGTTCCGCCTGGTCGGTTACCGGCTACCGCAGCCGTTACGTTAGTGCCATGGGATTAATCTGTTCACTGGTCGGACTGGGGCTGCTGCAGCGTGTCGTGCCCGCAGTCGTGGGCTATCCAGCCATGCGCATCGCCATACAAGCGCAAACGGTGATGCAATAGTATTGGCATGTTTTCACGAGCATTATATCGACATATGGTGTCACATTGCGACGGATGATTTTGAAAATGCTTTGGTAGTTGTAGAAAAGCATTTATCCACATATTTTTTTATCTTCCATATTTCCAAACATCGATATTTTTCATGGCCATGGCTCGTCTGCCTGGTAAAACGTCTCCACAAGACTTGTACTCAAATTTCAGAACGACCAGCACCTACTGCGGCTGTTATTGTCTTACTAATGGCGTGTGAAGTCGCTGAGCGCGGGACGTAGGCCTGTATATCTAGTGCCCAGACTGCCATAATTGCGTGAAAGACAACCATCTATATGTATCTGGAAATGTTCAACGATACTTGCCGGATAGCGTGTGCTTAACCTTTTCTTTAGTACTCTTACTTGCACTTTTCTACTTGAAATTTCAAGTGGAACACTCTATTCTGATACAAAATCGAATCCCTTGAAACGAGCATCTGTCGTCAACCACAGACACCTAGGGTGACAACGCATATGTGCCTATATTAGCTGCGATATTACCTTTCAAACTGGTGTTGTTGGCTGTTGCCTTGAACGATTTGCACATGTATTTGCAAGCCTGCAGCCGGCGCGACCATACTGTCCGTTGCTGTAGATGCACCCATCGCCATGCGCTATGGTTCGAGGACTGTGAAACACGGGGTGTGGTTAGAGGACATCGGGTAGGACGCAGCACTCAAGTGATATTCCGCCCAGCACATACGGACGAGCTAACTTAACATGACCGGACACATCTGCGTCCTGACTGGTATGGCCATGCGCGTCGGCCGGGTAGTGCGCTTTGCTTGTTTTATGCATCCTCTAGCTCATTTGGAAAGTTTATTTGTACCATCCACTGAATCCCTGCCGAATCTGCGCTTGTTTATTCAAAGCGGAAATAGCCAACGCATAGGAAGGGTGTTTCGGGCTCATAATTGTTGGCGTTATGCTCACAAATCTTATGCGTTTTCACATATACACCAAGGTCATGATCATGTTGTTAATTTCGGTGACGGTAACAATAGCCCCAGTCGCATTAACGCTAGGCTTTCGGCGCCTATTCAA